GGCTCTCGGACTATAGTTAAATGTGGTACTCGAGACGCGTTTGGAGGTCATTGTAAGATAAACAAACACTGCTGAAATAATTATTATTGTATGTACGTTGAGGTTTAAATCGGTTTTTATGATACTCGAGCTTCAGTCTTGTTTGAACTCGTCAACAGCGAACATTATAATTATTATAAAATTATTGCACAACATTTTTTTTTAACAAGTAAGTAAATCTTTTATATACTAATATCAATACCTACAGAATATTTTTTAGATATGGATTTGAAATCAATCAACGAGACCTGCCTCTTCAAGGATCAAAAAACACTTGTGAAATTACAAGACGGCAGAAAATACCCAATATTTTCTGCTAAAAAAACCCAAAGTAAATTCGGACCAAGCATCCTCATTGAACTTGACGATAAGGCAGTGTTTCTTCCAAAACGTACCACCAAATCATTGGAAGATCATATTGAGCAGTTTATGGATGGAAAATATTCAATAATATACAGAGGCCAGAAGGATGTAGGACGACCAAACCAAATATCGCTTTTTGAAATAGTTGAGTCTTAAAAAATGTATGTTTTTAAATAAAAAATTGTTTGAGGTTAGTATTTTTTTTTCTTAAGCCCATCTGTCTATTTTCTTTATATTTCGTCATGTATTTATGCATGTATAAATTCACGTATTTTTTCATCTGTATAAATACATGTAGAAATATAAAAAATACACACAGGTGTAATGTTATACGGGGTTTATAGATGGCGCATCAGAAAGCAGTTCGGGTAAGTTGGAGTAGTTCAGGTAGATTGGGTTAGATGACATTGACAGCTGACTGACATTGACAGACCACTGACATTGACAGGTGACTGACATTGACAGACCACTGACGTTGACAGATGAGTGACATTGACAGATGAGTGACATTGACAGATGAGTGACATTGACAGATGACATGACATCAGACAGATGACTGATTACGTCACGGCGTCGCGACGCCCTAGTTGGCGTATGCGCAGACGTCACGGAGGCGTCGGAGGGCGTAGAACGCATATACTATATCTACTTAGCAAAAATAGAAGAAGTTTTTGCAATCAAGCTGATTTTTTCACAGATGATAGTACCCATCAATAGTACTCTGTAAAAAAAAGTTACACCTCCTAGGAGGCTTGCTTTTTCCGCCATGATGAATTAAAGATGGCGGCTGGTGCTATTCTTGAAAAAAATCTTAACTTTCTTATTTATTAACCGATTTTCGTCAAGTAAAAAAAATATACCTATCTTAGCTCGATTGACATAAAAACAGTTGCTTTTGGTTTTAGTTGATTTTTTTTTTCTACTGCCTTGCGTGAAGTAGTCACTTTACGCACTGTTCAAACGTCGGATTAGATTCACACACTATTGCGTGAAGTGATTCACAGCAACAAAAAAGTTTACTAAATTGTAGTTCCTTTGCAAAAATGTATAAACACCCACAAGTATAAAATTTTATATTATAAAAGCCTTTACTGCCCTTTTTCTGCATTAGAAATGTGATTTTACTTCACACTTTAGGTTGTGAACTAAGTTACTTTAGACACTATAGGGCGTAAAATTGTGGTGTATTTTTTTCAAATTTTTGGCATCGAGCGTTATGATCTTATTCACCCGCTTACAATATTGTCGGTAGTAGAAAAAAAAATGTATGCAACAGGTGTGTAAAGCTTCTTTTTTCATACATTTGTGAAAAAAGGTTCACTTCAGACATCTGTTTATGTTTTATACCAAAAAAACTCTAGTACCGACAATTTAAAGCCATACATTTGAAAAAAATGTAGGTACCTACCACAACTTTACGTCCTAGTGTCTAACTTAGTTCACAGGGTGTAAAGTAAAAGCACATTTTTAGTGCAGCAAAAGGGCAACAAAGGTTTTTGTGATATAAAATTTCATACTTGTGGGTATTTATTATTTATGTATTTTTGCGAAAAAACTAATGCAATCTAGGACGGGTATTATAAAACTATTTTAACAGAATAACTAAAAGTTAACTTCTCGAATGACGTTACTTCTCCATGGTTATTTCAGAAGTTAATTTTTAGTTAGGTATCTGTCAAAATAGTTATATAATATCGGCCCTTAATAAACTTTTTTGCTGTTGTGAATTACTTTACGCAATAGTGCGTAAAATCTATTTTCACGTCTTTTGAACAGTGCGTAAAGTAAGTACTTCACGCGCGGTAGTAGAAAAAAAAATTCAACTAAAACCAAAGGCAACTGTTTTTATGTCAATCGAGCTAAGATATGTATTTTTTAGGCGACTGTCACAAAAAGATTAGTTTTACGGATTTAATATCATCCCTAAAGTATATCTTTTTTGGCCGCATTTACTTTACGGCCGCATTCACTTCACGGCCGCATTTGCTTTATTACTTTACGGCCGCTTTTACTTCACGGCCGCTTTTACTTCACGGCCGCTTTTACTTCACGGCCGCTTTTACTTTACGGCCGCTACTTTGGTGAAAATAAACAATTTTTTCTATAATCACACTCTGTTTACCGTAGTTTTTGTTATTAATAATTGTGTATCTACCTATCTTTGCTGGATTATTTATTTGATCAATAAAGTTTAAAGCTACTGTTGAATTTTATTCTTTTTTCAAGAACAAACACTCGCCTAAAAAATTTTGTGTGCACCTCGGCCGAATGATCTTTTTTGGAAAAAGATCAACTTTACGGCCTTGGTACACAAATAACTATTTTGTAACAAGTAGGTAAAGTCCGACAAATACCATTTTAAAGTCACGTGATACTGGTGGCAAAAAACGTATGTCCATTGATTTAAATAAGCATTCGTTGAAGTACCTTTATTCTGACTGTGCTTTTTACATGATCAGAGTTATTACACAAATACGACTTTGTTCGAGTTATAACTGCAATATATTATGGAATGGCATAGCTTATAGAATTAATCAAGAAGAACTCTGTTCGGTTTGTAACCTAAGAGTGCCTGAAACATTTCTTCACGTTCTCTTTGAATGTCCTTTATATCGTATTGTTAGGCCGGCAGATTGGGGTGATATACCGAATTTTGCTCATAATTTGGACAATCTAAACCCTCAACTGGTGAGGGTTATTTTCCAAACCGTTACTAGTACTCTTAAACTTAGATCGTTCTTAAGAAATGAATAGACCTATTCTTTAGATTTTAATTTTATCTTCCTATTCTCCTCGTACCTGAATTATTATAGAGTATTATTTTTTGTTCTTTTTCAATTTCAAATTTGGGTTTACATATTTAAACGTGTAGCTTATAAGTATGAGAAATGTAGCATTACTTAGATTAAGTTTATTATTGTGCAGAACCTACTGTTATAAGAATGTATATTCTTTTTAAACAATAAAGAATTGATTGATTGATTGATACTTTGGTGAAAATAAACAATTTTTTCTATAATCACACTCTGTTTACCGTAGTTTTTGTTATTAATAATTGTGTATCTACCTATCTTTGCTGGATTATTTATTTGATCAATAAAGTTTAAAGCTACTGTTGAATTTTATTCTTTTTTCAAGAACAAACACTCGCCTAAAAAATTTTGTGTGCACCTCGGCCGAATGATCTTTTTTGGAAAAAGATCAACTTTACGGCCTTGGTACACAAATAACTATTTTGTAACAAGTAGGTAAAGTCCGACAAATACCATTTTAAAGTCACGTGATACTGGTGGCAAAAAACTTATGTCCATTGATTATGTCATTGATATCACCTACAAAAAGCTATTGGTGGTTAATTACTATTGAATTTTAATATATGTTCCCACTAGCATTTTACAAACGCGTTTCTGAAGTAGTATTGACCAATCAGAGGGCAATTTTAATACTTGCAATTGTTGCGAGACTCATTTTTGTCACATCCGCTGTTTCTTGTAATACATTCTGAACCTAAACTGGGTACCCGTTTTCTGTTTGCTTTTTTTCGAGTTGGAAAAAGGTTAATATGGTCAAAATTATTAGCTGTGTTTGTTTGTTGTATTATTTTCGAAAATAACTTTGACACACTAATTGATAACAGTGACGGATTCTATTTCAGGTAAGAATATTATGAACAATAATTAGACAGCAATTTTTTCGTCAATTTTACTATCACCGCTGTTTGAGGTGTATTCAACAAGGATAGAGAAAAATCACGTGACTTTAAAATGGTATTTGTTGGACTATAGGAACCTAAAAAAATCTCTATTTTAGGTACGTGAAACAAACAATACTTTTTTGTAATACTTCAAAGATGTGAAGTGAATGTGACAACATTAAATATTTTAAACTTATTATGCAGGTGCGATAGGGTTGCTATGACGACTTTTAGAAACTAGGCCGAAAATGGAGAATTTTACGGTGTAGGCCAGAAATGAAGATTTACGGACTGAAATGAGTTCAAAAAATAGCTATTTTTAGGCGCGTATATACAAAAAATAGAATTGTCACATCCTACATAAGTTTTTTTTTTTTTTTGGATTCTCAATTTCTTTCCGACTATATCTCGCGAATTACTTAACCTATCACAAACTCAAAAACTGTTTCAAAATTTAAAAAAAAAGCGCATATTTTTAAGCTTCTTTTCGTAAGAAGTACCTACGGTCTAAGTTTACAGCTACGGTTCAAAGAAAATTGAAGAAAACTAATTCAATTAATTTTCCTATATATTTTTTTTTTGACAGAAATACTACCTGTCAAAATGGTTTTATATTTTTATTTCATTCTTTAGTCCAAAACAAAGGTACTTTTTTTACTTGACGAAAATCGGTTAATAAATAAGAAAGTAACGATTTTTTTCGAGAGTACCAGCCGCCATCTTCAATTCATCATGGCGGAAAAAGCAAGCCTCCTAGGAGGTGTAACTTTTTTTTACAGAGTACTTTTGATGGGTACTATCATCTGTGAAAAAATCAGCTTGATTGCAAAAACTTCTCCTAAAGGCTAACTGCCCTGGCCTAATACGAGATTGATCCAAAAATGTTCAAACTATGTTTCTCAAATAAATTAGGTATAAATTTATTTAAATAGATACAACATAGACTTGATTATGTCATTTTTTTTTGTAAAAGTGGCATCAGCGAACAATCTCTAGAATTTTGCCCTTCCTCATCAGCTTCTGCTTCAGCCCTTTCTACATTCTCTGCGATTATGTTCAACAGCCTTTCGTTTTCCTGGACCAATGATTCTATGGCTGCTTCGTTTTTCTAGAAGAAAATCGAATTTGTATTAAAAAAGACGTTCTATAAATTACTTTCAAGAACTGTTATATAAGTTACAACATGTATAATAGGATACAAACAAAACTTACAGTAATAGTGTTCCTGTATTTGTTATGAATTTCTTCTTTAGTCGATATTGCCAGGTTTACTTTTTTCTGTGCAAGTTTGGGTGTAACGTAAGACATTCCAATAATAGAATTAAGTTTTTTGTTCTGATTAATTTCAACCTGTAGGTTTTTGCGCAGTTGATTCGTCTCGACTAGTAAAGCAGCATTTTCTTCAACCAATCTCACTTTATCGAAACTCAGTGTACTGCTACTTTTGGTTGCCTAAAAAATAATTGAATCGATAAGGAGAAAACTGTTGGAAAACCCATGGTTTCTTACTTGTGCGTGCAAAGTAGAAACCGTACGTTCCAGAAAATCTCTCTGTCGCAAGAATTCACTTTTGGCTTCTGTATCTTCAGCTTGACTGACTTCGAAATCTTTGTCGGCGTTGTACTTGTGATACATTTCCTGTAAACAGGGAAATATTTAGCTGTTAAAAAATAGCATTCCTAAAGTTGTTTTGCAAAAATATTTTGGTACCTACTGAGAGAGTTTTTTGCTCAAAAACTGTTATTTTAGAAATCGATCTTGAGGAGACAAAAGTTAAGTTCACTCAAGTTAATAATATTTATGCAATAAAGTTTCATAGTCAATTCACTTCATAGTCATTTCAACATTGATAAAGTCAAAATAAAACTTGTCACTGGAGTACTTACATTTCGTCCTTAAGGTGCGGTTTGTTAGGATAGGACGCGACGCACAACTGACAATGTAAGCGTCGCCATTGGTTCAGGTATGACGTACATCCGTTTTCTGACGCTGACGCTGACGTAAAAAAACGGGTGTACGTCATACCTGAACCAATGACGACGTTTACGTTGTCAGTTGTGCGTCGCATACTATCCTAACAAACCGTACCTTTGAATTCACTAAACTATTCTAATTTAATTCTTTTGATTACTTAGAGCTCGCACATAATGTTGAACGAATTTAAATGGACTTTCTTTTACAATTTTTCCGTTACTTTTTGAAAGAGTTGACTTAACGCGTTTTCTCGAGGCAACAAAATAAAAGAAACTCTTCGCGAATTTTATCCGGACTGACTCATTAGGTACTGTAGACTTAAACTCAAGAATGAACTGAAGACTCAACTAAACTGATGTGAAGACTAAGCTTAAACTGATTCCAAAATTCCGTGACCCAGGGCCGCCGCTACCATGTGTGTGGTGTGTTCAAAACACACAGGCGGCCGATTGAAAGAGGTTGCCGTCGCCGATCCTAATGCAAAAAAAATCATGTGCAACGCCATACACGTAGTAGAGGTGAAACTTCTTAAAAACTATCCCCCTCATAGAGCGTTTAGACAGCGTCTGAGTCGGGGTAAAGACGGGAAAAACACAAAAGGGGATCACGCATCTGTAGTGACGTCACAAGGGTATCGGCGCTTGAAAATAATAGGCAATCCTCCTTGCTTATAATCCTTGGTTTGTGTTAATTGTTCGTCGGTTGTCATTATCATTAGCTGTTTTTCTCCGTCTCTTTAGGTTATATATTTCTTCCTCTCGATCGTGTAACGAAATTTCCCAAAACGTGACGCGTCTTCCAAATCACTCTCCATCTCGTCCAATAGGCCCCTTGCATCAAATTTTTTTATTGCTGATTTCGATAGTCCATGAAAAAAAAGTCAACGCGTGTTTTTCCTTTTTCTTCTTAGGCCTGAGTTATCCAATTCCTTAATTCTTAATTTTTGTTCTTAATTCTTAATCTTTAAAAACCCCAATGTTAAATAAATTGAACTTTTTAAGAATTAAGAATTAAGGACAAATATTAAGAATTAAGGAATTGGGTAACTCCGGCCTTAGTCAAAAATTGACGGAGATACAACGCTATGAAATATGCCTATGACGTCACTTATCATATAAATTAGTGACGTCGTACATGCTCAGTATATCTATATATACAAAACTTAATATTTGTATAATTTCCGGAATAATCATATTTGGGCGAAATAAAAAATAGGTAACGATTTTTTTTCGATTTCCTACAGTTTGCAATAAACAATAATCAATTTAATTTTCCATGCAAGTACCCTATTATCAGATCGCCGCCTAAGAACTTTTCACTTCAAAATAAATCATACCCATTTATCGAAAATAAACCTCTCAAACAAATAAACCCATCAAACCCATATCTTTGTTTAATTTCAAGCAAATTAAATAAATTATATACCATTGGAAAGAACATTAAATTCTCTATAAATCCGTGCAAAATTGAGTTTGATAGCTCAAATAGTTTTTGAACATTTGAGCCTCAAAGTTGACTTTTAGTCCAAATTTTGTCAAAAACTTCAAACTGAATTTGCTCAAAAACTATAAATCTGGTAATATTGTAAATTACAGACCATTTAGAGTCTAATAAGAGTTACAAATGCTGGAAATTCCAATGCAATTTGCTCAACGGTTGCCGAGAAATTGAGGTTAGAATATTTTGAAATTAGAATTCAAAGGGGGTAGTTTTCCAGGAATGTTTATGGAATGTTCGTAGAATGTCCCATCAAGACGAAAATATTGCAATATGTTTCAGAAATAATTCGTCTATTTTAGGAATGTTTATAAAATGTTTCAAAAAGGTTCCAGAAATGTTTCAACATGTTTTTTTTTTTTTTGAAAAATTTGCAATGAATATTTTAGAAATGTTTATAAAATGTTCCAAGAATGTTTATAGAAAGTTTCAGGATATTTCGACATGTTTTTTTTTTTGGAAAATTTTTGAAAAATATTCGGGGAATGTTTATAGAATGTTCGTAGAATGCTTCAGGAATGTTCATAGGAATTTTCTAATATTTCATGAGAATTTCGTGTAATTTTACAAAAAATTTTCAGAATTCCACTGAAATTCTTATTATAGAATGTTCCAAATGTTCATAGAATGTTCATAAATCGCACACCAGAATTTCCTGAAAATTCTTCGGAATTCCACACCACAGGAATTTTTTGGAATTCCATGTAATTTCACAAACTACTTTTTCATAGTTCATGAGTACTTCAGGTTATTTCACGTAAATTTTTTTGGAATTCCACTGAAATTCTGAGTTATTTCATAAAAAATCCTTGGAATTTTGCTGAAATTTAAAAAGAATTTCACGATTTTTTTTTTTGGATTTTCATAATTATTTATACGATTTTTTAAGTAGTTTCTTGTGAATTTTATGGAATTTCACGAGAATTTGGATTTATTTCACAGGAATTTCTTCAAATTTTGCTAGAATTCCAAATAATTTCAGAAGTTCAAGTAATTTTATTCAGTAAAATTACCTAAGAAATTTTAGAAGAATTTACTGGAATTTCGACAAATTTTACAGGATTTTATCGAAATTTCAATGAAATTTCAAGTACATTATTTCATGTAAATTTTATGGAATTTCTAGTTATTCCATAGGAAGGGTTTTTTTTTTAATTTCACGGGAATTCCAAGCACCAATAAAGAAATTTTCTAAAATGTCACATTTTTTTTTCAAATTCCACTAAAATTCCGATTTACTCTACAGGAATATTGCTAAAGTATTAGGTAATTTCACAAGAACTTTTCGGAATTTCATGAGAATTTCATATTCAGAATTTCACCTAAATTTTGTATTATTCCACGGGAATTCCATGTAATTTCACGAGAATTCTTCGGAATCCAATAAAAAAATTAAATAATTTCACAATTATGTAATTTACGGAAATTTTTGCGATTTTTTCTTTCAATTTTACGAGAATTCCAAGTGATACCAAAGAAATTCTTCAAACTGAAATTACCAGTAACTTTAAGGAATTTTTTTTGGAATTTTCCATGTAATTTTTACAGGATTTTTTGTTGAAATTTAGCGAAAAATCCACGTAATTTTAGGTAAATATTTTAGAATTTCATAGGAATTTTCTGGAATTTCACGAGAATAACTCAAAATTCCAGAGGCATTGAGTCGAATACTCGGAAAATTTCGTCGTAATTCTTGCGCAGTATCACTTAATTCCACTATAATTCTAAATAATTTCACAAGAATTTTTTAAAGTTGCATGAAAATTTTATGTCGTTTTTGCGGAAATTTTTTAAAATTTTACCAGAATAACTTGGAACTTCGGGAGAATTACGTTGAATTTCCGGAAAATAGATGGAATTTCATTGGAATTTTTTCGAAATTCCACATAATTTTACTGGAATTTCACTGAACTTCCAAATAATTTCACAAGAATTATTTAAAATTTCACGAGAATTTCATGTAATTTTTACAGGAATTTTCTAAAATTCTAGGAAAATTGATGGAATTTCATCGGAATTCCACGTAATTCCACTGAAATCCCAAATAATTTCACAAGATTTTTGATATTTGAGTAAGTTGTTAGTAGCTTATCACTTATTACTTAGTTATTTCAAATTTCAATAATTATGATTATTTGATTAATAAAAATTTGCCTGAATTTTGAAGTATAAGGTAAAATTCAGCGTTACCGTAACGACGGTGTCAAGGTCTCTGAAATGTACTGGATTTTTTTTTTTTATTTAAAAAAAAAAGTTGTACACCAGAATTCTTCGTAATTCCATAAGAATTCTCTGGAATTCTACTAAAAATCCATGTGATTTCAAGGAAATTTCCTGTAATTGCAAGAAATTTCACAGGAATTCCTCGTAAATTCACTGGAATTTTAAATAATATCATATTTTTTTTTGGAATTTCACGAGCATAATTAAACATTTTGGACAAATCACTTGGAATTCCAGGAAAATTATTGGAATTTCATCGGAATTTCATAATTTTACCCGAATTCCACAGAAATTCCACATATTTTTGTTTGGAGTTCTACGTCGAATTCCTGGAATTTTAATAAATTTTACTGGAACTTTATTTAATTGCACACAATTTTTATGAAAATCCGCATAATTTTCACGTAATAATTTCAGTAGTTTGCATAGTTTTTATAGAATATTGCATATTTTCTTTAGAATTCCGCAGAAATTCTTTCGACTTTTGCATAGGTAGTTTCTATGAAATTTCGCATAATTTTTATGGAATTCCATACAATTTAAATTTACATAATTTTTATGGGAGTTTGATTTTTTTGAAACTCAACTTTTTTTTTGGAATTCTACGTCGGCATCATTTCCATGGTATCCAGCATAATTTCAATGAAATTCCTCATAGTTTCTACAAGCTTTCGCATAATTTTTATGGAATTTTGCACATTTTTTATGGAATTCCACATAATTTCTATGGGTTTTTATGTAATTCAATTGACACAACGATTTTTTTGGAATTCCACGCCATTTTCTCAGAATTCCATTTAATTTCACTGAATTTTCGCATAATTTTTATGGAATTTTGCATAATTGCTATAGAAATCTATGTGTTTTTTTTTTAAATTAAACATTTTTTTTTCTATGGAATTCAGCATAATTTCAATAAAATTTTGCATATTTTTTACGGAATTTCATTTAATTCCATTTAATTTTACTGAAAATTCACATAATTTCTATAGAATTTTGCAAAATTCCTATAGAATTCTATGTAATTTTGCTAAAATTTATAGGTATATATTTTTTTTTTTGAAATTTGTTGTCATTTCTCAGATACTCGCTCAGATATTTTATTGAACTTAAATGGAATTCCATGTCATACCTGCCTGCAAATTACAATATATTTTCGCATAATTTTCTATCAAATTTCACACAATTCCAATAAAATTTCGCATAATTTCTTCAACATTTCCCATAATTTAAATGGAATTCTACCTAAATTGCCCATATCTTTGTTAAATTTCGATTGTTGAGAACAGGTTTCGAGCAAAGATAGGAACGAGGCTCTATTGCCAAAACATCGGCAGACAACGCCATGCCACAAAGCGCGCCAGGCGCGCATGTGGCAACAGCATGCTGCGCCATGCTGAGTGTAGTTTAAGTAGTCCTATCCTAGTATTAAGTTAATGTTGTATGTTTTTTAGTTCGAGGGGGGGCCTAACCCCCCTACCTGAAATGTATGACATGTAATTGTTTAAATAAAGAATTTGAGTTGAGTTGAGTTAAATTTCGAGCAAATTGAAATAATTTATATATCATTGGAAAGAGCATTAAATTCTCTATGGGTTTGATAGCTCAGACAGTTCTTGAGCAATTGAAGCTCAAAGTTGACTTCTAGTCCAAATTTTTTCAAAAACTTCAAACTCAATTTGCTCAATAATCTGAAAATATTGTTAATTACAGGCCATTTAGAGATCAATAAGAGTTAATGATGCTAAAAATTTCAATGCAATTTGCTCGACGGTTACCAAGCAATTGCGGTATGAATATTTTAAAATCAGAATTCAAGAAAAGAAAAACTCGATTTTTTTATTTTTCAGTTTTGCTCAATTTTGACTTTACCAATCGATAAAGCGGGTCAAAATTAGTGTAAAACAACCTTGACATCAATTCCAAATGTTTATTTTAAGCAGGAACAAAAAGCAAAAGAAAATCCTATTTTTGGCTCTGGAAAATTTTCAAAATCTTGACTTAATCATGAATAATTGTCCATATCTTTGTTAAATTTCCAATAAATTGGAATACATTATACACCATTAGAGAAAGAGTATTATTCTCCATAAATCTGTGCAAAATTGAGATCGATAGCTAGCTCAAATAGTTTTTGAGCCTCAAAGTTGACATTTAGAGTCCAAATTTTGTCAAATACTTCAAACTCAATTTGCTCAAAAACTATAAATCTGAGAATATTGTAAATTACAGGCCATTTAGAGCCTAATAAGAGCTACAAATTCTGAAAATTTCAATGTAATTTGCTCAACGGTTACCGAGCAATCAAAGTTTAAAGATTTTGAAATCAGAATTCAAAGGGGGTACCCTTATGAAAACTCGATTTTTTGAAGTGAAACTTCTCAGGCGACGGTCTGATATTTGGACTAGAATGGAGAGTGATCTCAAAGACGCGTCATGTTTTGGCAAATTTCGTTACACGAGAGAGAAAAAAAAACGTAGAGGGACGGAGAGAGACAGCCAATGACAATGACAGCCGACGAACGATTGACGCACAAACCAAGGATTATAAACTATTATTGTCAAGCGCCGATACCTTTGTGACGTCCCTACATATGCGCGTTTCTCTTTTGTGTGGTCCTTTCTGCGTCTCTACTAAGGTCTTCATACGTTAAAATTTTGTACTGGGAGTCAGGAGGCGGCGAAAATTGTCTTGGCACACAGGCAGCTAACACCCTAGCGGCGGCCCTGCCGTAACCGCAGTTTTTATATTTTTTATTCCCCAAAAATATTCCGGGTCAAGTCAATCCATTAACCGTTCTTTTCTTCTAAGAAATATATTTATTTATTTAAAATCGAATGATTATGTGGCAATTTCCTGGATTATCAGAGTCAACAGATTTGGTTTAGGAATGTGGGGACATATAAATCGATAAATCAAAGGATGCCGATACTCGTGTCGAGCCATAAATCACCAATTTAATTACTTTTGCCTAGATTTTAATATTTTTATGAATATTTTAATTAATTTGGGGTCAACGCTAATTTGTATCATCTTCAATTTATTGATACTGATGTGAATTATTGGAGATTCAAATTTTGATTATTTGATTACATTTTATTTTTACTGTTATGACATTGTAATTACGGGTCTATTTTTCCCGGGTCATTACAATTCTTAAGGAATGGTTTTGTGTGCAATAAAAGAGCTAATAAACTTTTATACATCTCTTTACACGTCGATATACAAGACTGCGAAAATACCATTCTGACATGAAAACACTCTCTAACCACACTGCCAGTCGCTGCGGAGTGCGGATAGTGAAACCGTACCTTTATACAAAAACCACCTGTAGATATTTTGTCACTTAGGATAAGATTCAATCGAATTACCTTAACAACTTTCTGTAACATGGGCACATTCTGGATAAATCCACTGGCATGATGTATATCCATTCTGATAGCCTGAAGCGCCTTTTTCATAACACGATTTTTCTCTACCTCTTTTCGCACCTCGTTCACCGCCGCCGCTAACTTGGCTCGGCCTTCCGCCATCTGGGTATCCAAGTTTAGGATAACCTTTTGCAAATTCTCTAGCTCGCGCACCATTTCATTAATTTGCGTAACTTGTTCTTGAATTGTCCGTTCTCTGGGTTCTATTTGAGATTTTAATTCTTTGATCTAAATAAAAATCATCGAAATTTTAGACTGATGGGAGAAAATAGGAGTGGGACCAGTAAATATACGCACCTTAAAATCCAAAATAAATTTAAATTTCTCTAGTTCTTGATTTTTGCTTTTGAGTTGAAATATTCTTTTCTCCTTATCTTCTATTGTGCTGTCTCTTTCCAATATTTCCTTTTTGATATCAATGATATCTTTTTCCAGTGTCATTATGATCGATTTGAATTTTATGTGCTCATTTTCCAGAACGTATACTTGATGTTTATAGTCGTCTGCTTCCTTTTGTGTGACTGAAATATGTATTATTGTCAAAGGTAAATAAATTGTTAATATCACTAAATTAATATAATAAGTTAATGAAGAGAACAGTCTTTTATCAGATGTTGCATTGTTATTGTGCAATTGCTTTTTGTGTTTTATTATTCAATTATTATGAACTAGAGATTTTACTAGGCACAAAGTTAGAGCGTGATTAACTATGTTCTTTCACTTCAACTTCTTTTGTCGTTTTTTAGCTTAGGGGATGAATTAGTATGCAACTTTCTTCTATTATTTAACTTATCATTTAATGAACATACTACATCATTTAGCGCCATCTGATAAACAACCATCTATAGCCATTATAAATAAAGGTGCGTTTTGCGTCTGTTCACAATCCGATGTCCACAGTTGCAGGTACTTTTATCACCTTTCCCTATCAAATAGCATTGAAAGGTGATAAATTTAACCGGTACCAGTGGACAACGGATTGTGAACGGATAATATATGTTAATGCTTATTTGAACCGACACGTATTCGTACCGAAAGCATTTGGCCCGACCGTAACAATCCCGACGGAACGTCACTAAAGTCAAACTCCGAATTTTTTGAAACCTTTGTATTATAACTAGAAATATTTTCTATTTTTTGAGCAACTGATTTAGAGATATTTTTTTATTAGGGATAGTAAAGGGGCTAGGACAGTTCTACAGCAAAATCAGTCATTTTCCCATGTAAATCTCCATAAGAAAATCTAAGGTCCATTCTGGCAATTTTTGTACCGTTCAAGGTCATCCGTCCAGCCCGCCAGCAGTCGTTGCCGCTAAGCCCCGCCCCCTTTTCAGTGCCCATGTCTTTCATCGGTCGCACTAACTGGTCAGCCGCCGCTGCGTTCGGGGTCATTGACCGTACCTGGCTCCAAGCGGCTCATCGAACACACATAGCAGCTCGTGACTTGGTACCTCATTCAAGGTGCATTGTACTGATGATGACGTAACTAATAATAAAACGTCGTTTCGCCATCGGGTCTGATGATGACGTAACTAATAATAAAAATGTTGTTTAGCCATCGGGTTTGCTGATGACGTCACTAAAAATAAAAACGTCGTTTCGCCATCGGGTCGTCAACATTTATTGCAACCGCAGCGAAACCATAACTTGTAACTTTCCTGTGACCTGCGATAAACAAGCTCTGACTAGTCTGTAGCCAATCACCAGCTTCGTATCCACCTGCACACTCCAGCGAACTTTTCCTAGAAATATGGGCCATCGTTTCAATTTTACTGTTGCTTATTACGTTGGCATCCTGCGATAAGCAAGTCCTAACAAGTCTCTAACCAATCAGAAAGCTCAGGTCTCTCGTCTCAAAATAAGAAACCAGCGACAACATTATTTTATTTACATCATATTGATACAACGTTTTAGCCCGTATTCGGATCAAAATCGCCGCTAGTTCGAGTCACTTTTATTGTCAACATGACTTAGACCCATGACTCATTTATACAAATATTTCTCTACAAAAATAATTCCGTCTCAAGTTTTCCTCATAAGGATTTTCCTGGTATTTTTGCTCCAAATATTCATTACCTATCATCAATATATTGCTAAATTATATTAACACGTTCACCAACAAAAACAAAAATAAGGCAAACGCGTCGCATAGGAAATTACACTGCTTGAGCCGTCCAGCCGCAATACTGATAAACTATTTTCATTCAGAGTAAACAATTAAACCTGCGACAATGATAAGAGCAGGCGTTACGTCATAGACATATATGTGAATATTTTCATCAATGCAGTATCAGTTGACTAAAAATGGTATAGTAGTAATGAGGGGACCTGAGCCTGGGAAAATTTTCGATACCGTGGGAAAATCTATAGATCGGCGGCGCCTTTGATCTGAAATTACTGGGATTTGACCCGGGGCCAACCCCAAATTTTTCGACGTCATTATGTTATCGGTGGCGCCATCTAGCGTACATAGTCTGAAGTTCGTTGTGTCCTTTTACAGGATGCCGTAGTGGTAAATAAAATAAATTCATAAATCAGCACGCCGCCGACGTTCAATGTCGTTGTGTTGTAAACAGGGGTATCATATTTCACGGTTATTTTTACTTATAACTGATAAGCGTTTCCGTTCTAGCAAAAACAACAAGCTCAAACTTGCATTTATATTTTATCGATGATAAACATGCATGGATATTTACACTGCCGACTAACTACATATATGTTTAATAATATATTTAAAAACAATCCAGCCCATAACCCCATAATACTTTCAGTCAAGTTGGACATTATCTATTACCCAACTAACAACCCTTAGGGCCAAAAAAGGGTGATATCAAAAATTTTAAAAAGTACCTAACTATACCATAACTCTTTTTAGGCGGGGACAGCGAAGCTGCTTTTTCCGGGGTGTGCGCAACCCTAACTATTAGGGGAATGTCCGAAAACCGGATTTTGATCATCTGCGCACATGTCGTTAGGGCCTTATTCTATTTTTTCAATTATTTCGTGTTCTAGCGATCCGATTTAATTCGTTCTTTTACCAAAAATTTTCAAATAATTAGTCGCGTATTTGAAGACCAGTTTCACCCGTTTAGCATATGCCAAAAGGGCCGTATTCTATTTTTTCAATTAATTAACGTTCTATCGACTCGATTCATATTAACATAGCTTCTTTAACAGCTCATTTTTTCGACTTCTCAAGTTTGGTTTTACAAAATGATTACGACATCATAGGTATCTCTGAAACTTCTTTAAAAAAACATATTTCAGACGATGTAGTTGCATTGCAAAGATACAATTTAATTCGTCAGGACAGGATAAGGAAAGACAGGGGAGGAGTAGCCTTATATATTAAAAAAGAAATTAAGTATTCAATAGTGAGCTCATCAGATGAAATTGAACAGATTTGGATAAAAATTATCCTAAATAAATCGAGTATTGCTTGTGGAGTGGTTTACAGACCACCTGATTTTTCTTATGTTGAATTTTTAAACACTTTCGAAACTTTTTTGACTGGCAACATTATTCCAGTTGTTGACAATGTTTTCTGTATGGGTGATTTTAATATTGACTATTTTGTAAAAACACGGTCTGATGCGAGAATGGCTGTGGATGTTTTTGGGGGTTTGGGTCTTTATCAGATTATTGTAGATGCCACCAGAATTACAGAACATTCTCATAAATTGTTGGACTATTTTCTTGTATCCGATGAATCGTTGGTGGATTCTTCAGGGGTTTTACATGCTAGACTGTCGGATCATGAGTTGATTTTTTGCACGACTATATTTAAATATGAAAGCAAAAAACCAATATTCAAAAATGTGCGAGACTTCAAAAATGTTAATCTTAATCAATTTGAGGATGACCTTCGGTCTATTCCATGGCGAAATATATATGACATGAGCGATGTCGATAGCAAAGTTGATTTTTTGAATGACAGCATTACGGCACTGTTGGATATTCATGCGCCTTTTAAAACCTACAGAATCACTAAACCTTATGCTCCATGGCTAACTGAAAATATAAAAGCCATGATGGTTGACAGAGACCGGGTGTTGTCAGGGTATAAAAAAAATAAAAACGTCAGAGATTGGCGGTCTTATCAACAGTTACGTAACATGATAACAGCAGCTGTTGCTCGAGAGAAAAAAGCATATTTTAATATGCAAGCTAATAGAAACTCAAAAAATTTATGGGCCTCTCTAAAATCCTTAAATCTGCTACAAAAAGAAAATAAAGTTGCCCTTCCTGAAAATCTAAGTAACGTTGAAAATATTAATAAGCATTTCATTGAATCAATACCAAAAATAACTGTTGATGACTCCCTGAGGAATTTTTACAAGAATAACATGAAAGATAACATATCAAGTGTCTTTCGTTTTAGTCCAGTGACAGAATCTGAGGTCTTGAATATTATTAAGAAAATTAAGTCAAAAGCAACAGGATTGGACGGTATAAATATTTTAACTTTAAGCCTCTGCTTACCGTTCCTTTCACCCTATTTAACGCATATTATAAACTATTGCTTGAGAGAATCCGTTTTTCCGTCCTCCTGGAAAAAAGCGAAGGTAACCCCTCTTCCAAAAATAAAAAATCCCGAATCTTTCAATAATCTCAGACCAATTAGCGTTCTACCGACGATGTCCAAGATCCTAGAAAAAATCATCGAGACTCAACTGAGGACGCATATTGAAAAATATGATCTTTTACCTGTGCACCAATCAGGATTTCGGCCCAATTATAGTTGCGCAACAGCACTTACCAAAATAACAGACGATATATTTAGAGCAATCGATGAAGGCAAACTAACAGTCCTTGTACTTCTTGACTACTCAAAGGCTTTTGACACATTGAATCATCAGCTTTTGAGCTCCATTATGCATTACTTGGGATTGTCCGGGAGTGCAAACAAACTGATGGATGAGTTTTTACTGGGTAGAAATCAAGCGGTTTTTTATGATAACAATCTATCCTCATTTTTGCAGGTAGCGACAGGCGTTCCTCAAGGAACAATTCTAGGTCCCCTGATGTATTCTTTGTACGTCTTTAGCTTTCCTTCTGCGTTTCTTTCTTGCTTTCATCATTTTTACTGCGATGACACTCAGTTATACTTGCCTTTTTCTATAACTGAATCCGATCAAGCTGTAGCTGCTATTAACTACGATTTAAATAATGTTCTGGATCTTTCTAAAAAACACGGTCTTCAGTTAAATGCTCAAAAGTCAGGTATGATTGTCTTTGGACCAAGGAATCATAGAGAGGAATTTGTGGCTGCGTATGGGGGGTGCATTAAACTGGGTTCTGAGCCTATCGTTGAGCACAAATCTATTAAAAACTTAGGCCTTATTATGGATCAGAATTTAAGGTTTACAGATCATGTTAACAGGTGTCTGCAGAGGGGTTATGCGAACTTAAGGACAATTTACCAGCATCGCTCGTGTTTGAACAAAAAAATCAAAACCATGCTATGTGAAAGTTTTGTTTTGTCACAAGCTAACTATTGTGACACCATTTACAACCCGTG